TTTTTAAGAATTTTTGGTTATGTAAATTATTGATATATGGATCATTTTTTAATAATTTTCAAGTTAAAAAAATCTGAAAAAAAAATGATCTTTAAAATTTGACTCTCATCCAAATTTTGTTCTAGCAATTACAAAAACCTGAAAAAATTTAAAGAATCTAGAATTGTGATAAACTATTTGTCCTAATATTTTCAAAATAATTGACTTAGATTTGGATTTTTAAAGGGGGGTCGATGACTTATGACTACTACTGTAATTATGCCATCATCAAGTGCCAACAAACACTGTTATCAAATAACTATTACTAAAAAAAAAAAATATATTGTATGTTTATTAATATGTATATATATATATATATTTGATCACTAAATTGTTTTCTATTGGTCATATAAAGTACCTGGGTATATATCAGGTTTTTGGACCATATAATTAATATAATACCTGGGTATTATTCAAAGGGGTACTTTTTATGGAAGGTATTATATAGAGCACTATATGGTACTCAATAAGTTATCTTTTTATATTATATGGGTAATTATTTTTAAAGGTGGATAGGAATTTATTATATCTTGAAATTATAGTTTTGAAATTTATATTATATATATATTATTAAAAAATTAGGATATAAAAATTATATATAGAAAATGTTATGCTTTTTAAAAGGATTACCCATATATTTAACTTATATAATTACAGATAGAATTCATTATATTATACATTTTCTAATAAATATTTCAAAAGTTATAATTCTTGATTAATACAAATTATTAAATTCAAGAGTATAAATATCAAATGAGTCATAATTTTATAATTTCTAAATAAATACTTTAAAGAAATTTAATTAGTTTAAGCTATCAAATCTAAGAGTACAAATGTTAAGCAAGATATAACTTCTATATAACTTTTTTATGAAAAAATATTGAACTAAACACTTATACTACAAGTATATATTTATATCAATAATTCTTTCAAGATTCTTTATTTTATATTAACATATGGATGAAGAAGTAGAATTGATTAAAATAATATACAATTCAATCTGTAATATCAAATATGATATTATATCTAATATAATATGGCTGTAAAGTTTAATTGAAATTTGATCAGAAGCCTTTCTTTATACAATTCTTTTTTTTTTTGATTTGTTACAATCTTGCAATCATTGAAAAGATCAAAAGTCATATCTTCATATAACCTAATTAAAAATTTTGTGATATATTTTTGTAACCAGGCAGATTTGAATTCTAGACCTTCTTCTGGTAACCTATAAAGTATTGCCACTATGTTGTAGACCCATAGAAATAAGTAATAATATTGATATATATCTAAATAGTTATATATTATAATAAAAAATTTATATCTAATATCTTTTATAACTTTTTTTTTTAAAAAATTGTTTTATAATATAAAATTATTTTTATTTTTATTTTTATTATATTTAAATCAAATGTTCTACACTGTATTTTAACTGATTCAAATGCTTCTTCTAGAATTTCACATGATATAATAATTTTTAATTATGATTTTTCTAATGAATTCATGACAAACACTTTTATTATATTAGATTAATAGCAGTTAAATTTTAATTTTTTCCAATTTTTTCGTAACATACTATATAATTAAAAACATGATAATAACAAACTTTGAAAATGATCTTTTTAGATATAAAATATAAATAATTAATTTTAAATTCTTTTAAGCAATATCCAAATAAAATATACTGTATGTATAACTCAGACTTTGTTAATCGTAATTTTGCATGTTTTAACTTATATTGCTAGTGGTAATCTTAATTAAAGAGATCAAAGAATTCTAAACTTGAGTTACATTAGAATAATACTGGACCACTTTTTATCACACCTTCCAAAGAAATCTGATAAGAATTCATATCATAATATACAGTAAGATAAATCGTACTTTATTGATCGTTTTAATTTGATATATATACGGAATGGGAAATTAAATCCCATTGTTGATCAATCTAGTAAAAAATTCACACTAATTTATATTCGCATCGGCTTTTGATTTTTGCAGTATTTAACTTTATTAGAATAACACTTGTACAGAATCGCAAAGAGAGAAAGAAAAAATCTACATACGCGCCTAATTTTGCACTCCACAATAGTCATCTTTGATGGTTCCTATCGCAAACTGAAATATTATTAAAAAAAAATGATAGTGAGTTTAGAATTCCAATAAAATAATTAAAGATTAAAGCCTACAATATCAGTAGCGTCAAATCTTGTTCCAACGATCTTTATCCTAACATGACTTCCTTTTTCAATTGTCTTGGAAAGAAAAACAAAAACGTCAGTATTCCAAATTGAACATTATTTGCGAAGCAATTACATACAACTTCTTCGCCTACGTAAGCTTGACGAGCAGCATCGAATACCACATCCGAAGGGGTTAACTTAAAATGGTTGAATATAAACGGTACTATGAGATCACATAAATTTATTTAACATGTTTATACTGATTTATGAGACAATTTACGTGGCTCGAAACGAATACTTGTAATGGGCCAACTTCGGTGAAAAATCCCATCTATAATACAAGAGATTATTAAAAACAATTCTACAATGCTCATTATTCAAGTTTTACAATTTACCTTATTAACTTGTGATACAACTCCATCTACAACTTCTCCCTTGAAAGGTTTAAATACAACTGCTCGATATCTAACTTCAAATTCTGCTAATCCGACAGATGGAATGACTTTTCCCTTAGAAATATCTAATGATTCCATTGTATCTAATACAGCTATGATATAACCGTATCTTCCGGTACAGGTTCCCTCAACATCTGAGTACAATTTTTCGGCCAGAAAAGTTTGATAATTTTGGGTAAAGAAGGAAGGATGAAGCTGGATAGTGTGCGTTAATTTTTTCTAAAGCGAAAAAATAAATTTTCATTAAATTACGAAAAAACAAGCGAAATAGAATTTTAGATCAGCGCATACAATGAAAAACATCTCGAAGTTGTTAGGAATGAAAATCAAAATTATGGAAATACGTAAGTAGTATTTAACCATTTTTCTTAAGTCACGCGTTTAGACATTTGAATGATCAGCACAAAAATATATTAAATAAAATAATTTATTATACGGTATAAAATAAGATATACATTCTAAATAATAAAATTGTAAGGTCAAAGCAATACATTGATAACCTTTTTTAAAAATTTTTCCAATATTTGTCATAATTATAAAGCAGATATATGTTATAATAATTTTATAATTAAAATAATACAATAATTAAAATTAAAGATTAAAGTTTTATTTTAAATTTATTAATTTATAATATTTAATAACAATATATTTGAATAGTATATAAAAATATATGAATTTAATTTTAACTTATTTGTTATAAACAAGTTTTGTTTTAAAAATTCTTTCCGCTGATTTTTTTGTCAACCAAAAAACAGACATTTTCAAAAGATTTTATATTTTTATAATAATAAAGTCTATATATTGTATTTTCTTTAATAATACTGATTTTCTAATTAATAGAATAAGCAGCAACTATTATTTGTTTACTTTTTTCTTTTCAAAACACTTTTTTTGTTTATTTTTGCAAAAAACCTATCCAAGAGGTTCATGGCAAGAACACTTTTTTAGGAAGAAAACTGATAAGAAAAAAAAACATTTTCCAAAAATTTTTAAGAAGTTTAATAATTCAGAAAAATAAAAAAAAAAAAATCTTCAGTTTTTTTATTATTTCTCTAGCTTCCTATTTTTTTTTTCTCAAGCATACTTTCTTTTTTTTTATTTTTTTGGAAAAATTTTGTCTATTTCAATTTAATCTTGAATTTTTGATTATATTAAATCTTCTGAAAGATAATTGATCAAAGTTATAGATTGATTAATCACATTAGCTATAGAAAAAGTAAATAAGATATATCCTCCTATATGTTTTCAGTTATGTAATATCAAAATGATAATGTAATTAGCTTCTGAAAGAGTTGAATATTCTTAATTGAAAGAATAGTATAGAAGTATTAAGTGAAAGTTGAAATTGTAAATGATAAGGAATAATTTTTTTTTTTGTTTTCCCTCTTTTTTTTTTTTATTCTTTCTAGAGGCAAGAAATAGATACAAGATTCAAGTCCTATCCCAATCTGGCAACAAGTTAAAATAATAATTATTTATTTTAAAAATGATTAAAGAAAGAGATCTTAAAACTATCCACTAATTAAGTAAAGCAATAATTTCAGAAAATATGGTTTGAAAAAGAAATCAACAATAGAAAATCAACATCTTTTTGATTAAAAGTTTTAAGTATAAAGTTTAAAGAAATACTCTTCTGAAAGTGCCCTTAAACATTTTTGGATATTATCAATTCAATAAAAATTAAACAGTCTAACTAACTGCAGATAGTGACAAATAAGTATAGTAGCAATTATAAGGGGATTGAAATTTTTGTTTATAGAGATAATTTTTTCAATAATAGTTAGAATAGATGACAACTTTTTTTTCTATTTTTACAATAATATCTTTTTTTTTATATATACTTATACCATTTTTTCCTTTTTTAAAAATTCTTTTTTATTCTTT